TGTACGTCCAATTTCTTGGTCCTACGCACCGATTCTCATTTATCCCTCTAGCATGACCCCGATGATGAGCCGGTCGCTCCTCCTCTGGACCCCGAATTCTTCGAGTTCGACCTCCACAAAGATGACATCTCACGCGATCAACTTAAAGAGCTACTCTACGAGGAGATCATGAGCTTCAAACCTTCAATCTAATCATTCCTTAACGACGATTACCTTTTTGGCCATTTATACTTATTTTTCTTTCTCTCTCATATTTGCGTCCCAACTCTATTTGCGCTTTTATATTTCTTTCATCTTACACCCTTTATACCTTTCTGCTTTGACTGTGTCTTCTACTTTTTCCCTCTCATTATCTAATTCAGTCCTCTCAGGAGACGATAGCGGTCGCCTGTTGGGTGGGTCATGATCATGACTATGTGTGGTAGCAATGATGTACGAATAGACATAAACCAAAATACATGGGCGATACGGCAAGGAATCTGTTCTTGAGTCCGATTAAGATCGGAAGTGCTTGCCCATACCAGTTTGGCATCGAGCTGCCTGTTTCTATATCCATCATTGGGACGCATAATTAGAATAAGGCCATGGATATCAAGCTGTTCCTAGTACCTTCTTAATTTCGTCTCTCATATCTCTCTTCGGCAACTTCAAGAGGGCACTATCATCATCATCCCCCCATCTCGACGAGCTCTCTTTACCCCATGCATAGACCTTGAGAACCGAGCAAACATTGTTAAAGGAGAAATCCCCTTTGTCCAAACCGGCTTGAGATTCCTTGAGAAGTGCTTCTGCGTCTACATCCTTGATAGTCCACTTTGAGTCGGTCTCTTGCTCCAGAACTTCCAATATCTCGTTCTGACTGACGAAGAAGTCGTGGATGAGGAGGTCCTGGTTCTTCAAGATAGAGAGGTCGGAGAGTATATAGAGGATGGCGTGAACGACACTGTCTTGGTTGGTGAGGTTGGCTTTTGCGTTACCGCCGTTGAAGATAGTGGCTGTCTTGTTTGGAATATCCATACCAGTGAATTGGAAGTCTCCAGCGAGCTTGAGACCTAGATAGCGCTAATAAGTAACTGTCTACCAGAAAAGAGGAATTGTTTACTCCAGTCGAAGAAAAACCCGCATGAGACGGACGTGTATTCAATCAGGCCCGCAGCTGCCTTTTCTTTGAGATAGGTACTGACATTTATTTGTGGGGTGAAGAATGTGTGCTCGGTGCCAGGCCAATGATGCATGTCACTAGGACCTTCTCGTCAATAAAGTTCTCGCGTGTACTAAACTGGAACCTACATTCCAAATTCACTGGGAATTACACGTTTAACGCCTTCCTCAATAGCTATATCGATGATGGTTTTAGAGTTTTTCTCTAGGGTAGTCCAGCCGTTTAGAGTGATGAGGGCGGCATCTTGACCTTGGATGGCGCCCCGAAGGGCTTCCTTGTCCTCATAGTCTACTTTCACGAGTTTAACTGCAGATACACAAATTAGGTACCAATTATATAACATAGCTATGACATACCTGATGGATCCGACGTAGTAAATGTCGAAGAGGTTCGTACCACAACTGTGATATCAAACTTTTGCGATGCTAAAAGGGCATCGAGTATGGGTTTTCCAATGTTTCCCACCTAGAGCACGAAGAGTCCGAGTCAGTATGTCAAAAGAGAAAGGAGGCTCAAATGTATTGTCGAAGGATGCGAGGGGGCGCAATACTCACTCCAAATTGAACAACTTTAGTACGGGACATGTTTTATAACGTCAAAGATTAGTGCAGATATAGAGTGTCCTGTGAGGGGTATGTATGGACGTTCGGGTTGTACAGAGAAATAGCCCATTTATATCATCGCCAAGCAAGGTGGCATGACCACCGGAAGGTATCAAAAATAGTACGCAATCCCTTCCAAAACTCGGCATGATTAGTGGTTATCCGACAGGAGCGCACTCTGTGACGGGGGCTCCGCTGATTGGTAGCGTCCTCCGGACGTCCGAGTAGCTCAATGAGTGGGGTCGACCAAAGACCACGTTGGGACCGTGGTTGCTTTTGATGGAGTATTAGGACAAGATAATACCTGTAAGGGCCGTAAAACTCACCTAATAATGGATGAACTAATCTGATATCGTGTATCCTCCTCCGTATTTGCCGTACTCCAGGCGTGATTGGAGCCAGTGGATTCTAGAATTGTAGGTGCTACCCTATACTTGTAATATAAATCGAGATTTTGAGAAAGGGAGATCCTTCTGGATGATCGATGACGAC